CCCGCCCGCCCCCCCCACCTCCCCACCTCCTTGGTGATCCCCACGCATCGCCCCTTCAGGCGCTCGGCCTGCCGCCGGCCGCGCTGCTGGTGCGGAGCGTGCGGAGCACGGGGCCGCAGCGAAGGCCCTCCCGCTCCGTCCCTCCGCCAAGCCCGGAGCTCGCCCCGCAGCTGCCGCAGCGAAGCACAGAGTGGACCCTGGAGATGTGACGAGGACTCATGAACCCCATAGGAGCTCGCCCCGCAGCTCACGCCGCAGCAGGCGGCCGCGGCGATGCTGGCGTCTTGCGCCGCCTTCGCTGCGCCGCTCGAGCCTTTCTTCACCGCTGCCGCTGCCGCTGCCGCCACCGCTGCCGCTACCGCTGAGGCGGAGGGCGCGGCGCGCGGCGTGTGCGGCCCGCTGCGATCAAGCGCCGACGTGCGTGCGCTCGTGAGCTCTCTCTGCGTGATGGGAGGAGGCGGAGGCGGAGGCGGAGGCAGCGGCGGAGGAGGGGGGGGAGGAGGAGGGGGAGGAGGGGGCGGGGGCGGGGGAGGGGGCGGCGGCGCGTCGCCTCTGCTCTTCTCGCCGCTCTCGCTCGATTGCGACCCCGCCTCGCTCCGCACATTGGTCACCGTCTGTCTCCAGCTCTGCTCGCCCCTCGTCCGGCCGCCGCCGCCGCCCTCCCTCGACGCCACCCTCGCCGCCGACGCAGAGGAAGGCGGCGGCGGCGAGGGCGGTGGAGGCGGCGGTGGTGAGGGCGGTGGCAGTGGCGGTGGTGGTAGCGCCGCGCTGTACCCGCTCGGAGCTGCGCTGAGTGCGCTGCGGCTGCTGACGGTCCATCTTCTGGCGCTGCGGCACGCTGGCGCACTGACTGCTCGCGAGGCGCGCGACTGCTTGCTGCGTCGAGCGCAAGCGGCGCCGGAGGCTGCGAGCGGGCGCAGTCTGTTGCGCTCTGGCAGCCGCGTCCCGGCCTCCTACCCGGTGGGGCGGGGCGGCGGTGACTCGGCTGGTGGCGGCGGCGGAGCTACAGGCGAGGGGTCGCAGACGCTGCGGCGGCTGCGCGGCCCGTTGCTCGCTCTGGTCGCGGCGGAGGCTGTGCCGGCTTCGGCTGCGGCCGGCGGGGCGCGGGGAGAGGCGGTGTGGCGTGCAGTGCAGCGCGAGGCCGTCTGCGTCCTCTTTGCTGGCCACGAACTCTTCTTCTCGCGCCGCACCGAGCTCGCCCAGCTGCTCCTCTCCGCCTCCGCCACCCTCCGCGTTTTGCCCGCCGCCGCCGCCGCCGCCGCCGCCGCCGCCGCCGCCGACGCCAACGACGCGGTGTCGCTGCTGCACGGCGGTCTGATGCAGCTCGCCGCCGTCGCGCCGCGTTGCTCCGAGCTGCTAGTGCCGCTGCCCGCCGAGCTGGCTCCGCTCGATGGTTTGCCAGACGACGAGGAGGAGGACGAGGGCGGCGCAGAAGACGGGTCGCTGCTCTTGGGGCACGAGGGCGACGTGTCGACGATAGAGCCGCAGGCGGAGCTCCTCGTCGCCGCTGTCGACGCCGTCGTCGTCGCCGCGCGCGCCGCGGTGGCGGGGGAAGCCGCTCCAGAGGGGGCGCCGGCGGCGCTCGCCCTTCTCTCCGCGTCGCTCACCGAGCTGTCTGTGCGCGTGAATTTGGTCGCCGCCTCGCCTTCCGGCGCGGACGCGGCGGGCAGGGCGATGGTGGCGGGGGGGGCGGAGGAGGTGGCGTGGGCGGAGGAGGAGGAGGACAACCTGAGCGAGCTCTCCGAGGTAGCAGAGGCGATGGAGGAGGAGGCGGGCGGCGGCGGCGGCGAGCTCTTCCCGCCCCCTCCCTCGGGCGGGGCCCAAGGCCTCGGCGGGGCGGGGAGGCGGCAGCGCAGGCGGCCCGGCGGCGACAGCGGGCGCGGCACCTCGCCAATCGACCGCCCCGCCGCGTCGGCGCTGCTACGCACTGCCGTCGCGCTGCTCTCCGAGGCGCGCGCGCTGTGCGACGCGACGCGCGCCGCCGGAGCCGACCCGCACACTGCCTTGCGCGGCACCTTCCTCTCGGTGCTGCTGCCTCCGCTGCTCGACCGGTTGCGAGTGGGTCGTCGCCCATCCCTCATTCATCATGAGAACAGGTGCTGCTGCCTCCGCTGCTGGACTGCCTGCTGGTGGCGGCGCCGCGGCTCAAGTGGGCGGCGGCGCTCGCGCCCTCCCTCTGCGACCTCTCGCACTCGCTCGAGGAGCTCCGACTCGCCGCCGCCGCAGAGGGGAGGACGCCGGCCGCCGGTCGCGCGGCCGCGAGCAGCTCGCGCGCTGAGCGGGGGAGCAGCGAAGATAGCGGCGCGGGGGCGGCCCCGGCGGCGGCGCCGACCGTGGTGGAGTCTGCGCATCCGCTGCCGCGGTTGGATGGCGGCGGGGGAGGAGGCGGCGGCGGCGTAGGCGCAGGAGGCGGTGGCGGAGGAGGCGGCGGTGGCGCGTCGCTCCGACGGCGCATCGAGGTGCACGGTGCGTCGCAGCTGGTGGTTCGGTGCGACATTCGCTGCGAGCTTCCGCCGGGCGACTCGATCCTCCTGCAGCTGGACGCGCCTCCGCTGCCGCCCCGCTGGTGCCTGTCGGATGAGGCTGCCATCCCTAGAAGCGGAAGACGTGCTCCTGTCTTCCAGCCAGCGCTCGAGAGGACGCGCACTCCGCCGTAGTCTCGCCCAGACCTTGGCGGATTCACCTCGTAGCCTGCCCATATCTCCCCATATCTCCCATATCTCCCCATATCTCCCCATATCTCCCCGTATCTCGTAGGCTGCAATCTACGGGGGCCCTGCCCGCGACTCTGCGGCGCTCGAGCGACGCGCGGCCCGCATGGAGTCGGAGGGCAACGGCGCCGCCGCCTACTCGCTGTACATGGCCATCTACGCCGCGTCGCGCCGGGCGACGGCTCTCCTCTCTGCTGCCCGCGTCAAGCTGCGCCAGCTCGGCGACCCGGCCGTCGCCGCCGCCGCCGTGCGGGAGATGGTCGAGGTGAGGAGCCGATCGGCGCAGGAGGAGGGTGAGGCGCGCCTCTTCACGGCTCTCGCTGTGAACAGGCGCACAGCGGGCCGCTGCAGGAGGAGGTCGGCGCCGAGGCGCGCAGCTTGCTCGCCGAGGCAGCAGCCGCCGCGACCGAGCGGCGCGGGCGGCGGATCCTTCTTTGCGGTCCGGCGGGGCGGTGGCCGAGGCGCGACGTCGTCATCGAAGGAGGCGCTTGCACCCTGCTCTACCTCCGCCGCGGCGACGCGGAGGCGGCGGCGGCGACGGCGGCCGTGCGGGCGCCGCGCGGTGCGGAGGAGCCGGCTGCGGCGGAGCCGGAGGCGGCGGCGGCGGAGGCGGCGGCCGTGGAGGTAGAGGCGGAGGCGAAGGGTGGCGGGGAGGAGGTAGAGGCGGAGGCGGCAGAGGCCGAGGACGAGGCGGCGGAGGACGACGCCGGCGCGGGAGGCGAGGGGGGGGCGCGGGCTGGCGAGGACGGCGGCGGCGGCGGCGCGAGGCCTCTGATCGCCCGTGCGGCGAGCGAGGCGGAGGGGCGCGCGGAGCGGGGGGGCGGCGCCCCGCCACTGCTCGAGGAGAAGGGGGAGGCGTCGTCGCCGCTGCTGCTGCACGCGGTTGCGGAGGACGCGTCGCCGCATCCGCAGCGCCATCGTGCGGGCGGGTCCTCGGAGGCGGGCGACGTGTCGGGGGCGGCGGCGGGCGGCGTTGCGGCCGAGGGCACCGACGCACCCGGCAACTTGCGACTGACCTTGGCCGCGGGCGGCGCGGCGGAGGCGGCGCGCCGGCCTGACGTGTACGGGTGGCGGCTCGAGGTGAGGGCGGTCGAGCCCCGAGGGGGAGGTGGCGGCGGAGGATCTCCAGTGCCGCGCCTCTCGCTCGCTGTCTCGAACCTCCTCGCTCGGTATGGCGCGATGCTTGCGCTGGCGCAGCCTCCATCCGCCGCCGAGCTGCGCCACGCGAGGTGGCTGCACGGCTCCCGTCTCTTCCCCGCCGCGGCGTGCGACGACCCGCGCGCGCGCGCCCCGCTGGGACCGCACCGGACCTCGTCGGGCGAGCGAGGAGGCTCCGAGCAGCGCGGCTCCACGGCTGAGCTCGAGGCGCTGCTGGCGCCACCGCCTCCGCCGCCGCCGCACGGGGCCGCCGCCGAGGCCGCCGCCGCCGCTGCGGCGGCAGCCGAGGGCGTCGAGCGGCGTGTGGTCGCGTCGCTGGTGGCTGGCGAGGGCCAGGCGGTGGAGTTGCTGTCACGGCTACACGGCGGCGACAGCGTGCGCCACGCGGGTGAGTGGGTTGGCGTCGCCTCCTCCGCTCCGGCGGCGCGCGCGCTGCGCACGCTCTTTGCGTGGCTCCTCATCGCGCGAGGCGGCGTCGCGGAGGCCGCTGCCGCCGCCGAGTCGCTGTCGGCGGCGCAGGCGGCGGCGCAGGTGGCTGCGCGCGAGGGCGGCGGCGCGGAGGGGGAGGTGCCCGCTGTGGTTCTGATCCCAGTGCCGGTGGACGGAGGGGCGGGGGGGCTGGGCGGCAAGGGCGACGGCGACAAGGGCAACGGCGGCGACGGCGGCGGCGGCGAGGGCGACGGCGCGGACTCAAAAGCCGAGGGGGTGGAGGAGATTGCGGCGGAGATCACCGCGGCGGCACAGCTGCAGGAAGAGGAGGTGGCGGAGGTGGCGGAGGTGGCGGAGGTGGCGGAGGTGGCGGAGGTGGCGGAGGTGGAGGTGGGAGGGTCGGAGGCTGGGACAGGTGGTGAGCCAGAGCCAGTGGAGGAGGAGGATGCAGCGGGCGGGGCGGCAGCTGGGGCGGTCGAGGTGACGGAGGCGGAGGTGGCGGCGGAGGCGGCGGAGGCGGCGGAGGCGGCGGAGGCGGCGGAGGCTGAGGTGGCGGCGGAGGCGGCGGAGGCGGAGGCGGAGGTGGCGGCGGAGGCGGCGGCGGAGGCGGCGGAGGCGGCGGCGGCGGCGGCGGAGGCGGCGGCGGCGGCGGCGGAGGCGGAGGCGGAGGTGGCGGCGGAGGCGGCGGAGGCGGAGGCGGAGGCGGAGGCGGAGGTGGCGGCGGAGGCGGCGGAGGCGGAGGCGGAGGTGCAGGGCGGGGTGGAGAGGTCGGAGGGTGCGGTGGAGGCGGCGGCGGAGGCGGCGGCGACTGGCCGCTTGTCCGTCGAGACGGAGGTGCAAGATGAGCTTTCAAAGGCGGTCGAGGCGCTCGCCGCGGTATGGTCAGAGGCGCGGCTGCTGTGGGAGGTTCCTAGACACCTCGTTGACACTTCGTTGACACTTCCTAGACACTTCCTAGGCGCGGCTGCTGTGGGAGGCGGCGCTCGCAGAGCACACCAAGCAGGGGGCGGACGCGAGCGGCGGTGCCGACGGCACTCGCCGCAGGTCAGTGGGCGGCGAGGACTACGTCGTGGGAGGAGGCGAGCCGGGCGGTGCCTTGGCGGAGCAGGCGGACTTGCTGCTCGAGCGAGCATGGCGCCTTCCTAGACACTTTCCCAGACACTCTCTACACTCCCCAGCTGCGAGTGGCTCATCACGAGTAGGCGGACTTTACACTTCCTAGACACTTCGTTGACACTTCGTTGACACTCCCTAGACACTCCCTAGACACTCCCTAGACACTCCCTAGACACTCCCTAGACACTCCCTAGACACTCGCTAGACGCTTCTCGTCGATGCCTGGTAGGCACGCTTCCCGCGGCAGCGCGAGGCCACAGATGCTCCCCCTCGCCGCGCGGTCGCCGTCGGTCGCATCGGCCGGCCTCGCCTCCTCCTCCTCCAAGTTTGCGGCGGCGTTGGCCGGCGGGGCGGCCCCGGAGGACGCCGACTCGGGCTTGCCTGCAGATTGCGCCGAGGTGCTTCAGTGGGTTCGCTCGCGCGTGTCGGCGCGAGAGATGCGACACTGCCTCGCCGCCCGCGCGGCGCGCGGCGCGACGCGTGCCCTCGGCTTGCGGCTGTGTGGCAGGGCGCTGCGTGTGTACGGCGCCCACCCGGCGGCCGCGGCGCGTGTGCTGAGCGCGCTGCGGGAGGCGTGGGAGGTTGCGGCGGCCGAGGCAACGGAGAGCGCCGGCCGCACCGCCAGCAGGCAGGGTTGGTCGGCGTGCACCACTCCGGCCCTGGTGGAGGCGCACGAGAGGCTCCTCAGCGCGGTGGTGCTGCACCTTGCCGCCGAGCCAGACAGTGCGACGCCGCAGCAGACAGCGCGGCTGGCGATGTGCGCGCTGCAGGCCGCGCCGGCCGACGCCACCCCGCTCGCCCTCCGGTGCGGAGTGCTGCGGCGGCTGCAGGCGCTCGCTGCCGGCGGCGGCGGAGCGGGCGAGGGCGGCGGCGGAGACGCGGTCGCACGCGCCGCCCGCCTGCTGCACCTCAACTATTGCGCCGCCGCCCTCTCCCTCGGGCAGCAGGGGGGTACCTTTCCCCCCCCCCCCCCCTCCCCCTCTCCGCCGCTGCACGCACACGCCCCCCTCCACACACCCCTTCTCCTCCCTCGGGCGGCAGGCGAGGGGGCTCGTCGACGGCGCTGCCTCCGCCGCGGGGCTCGGAGGCAGCGCTCCTCCGAGCCTGCGGGCCAGCCCGAGCGCAGGGCCTCAAGGGCCGAACCTCGCCTAGACATGTCGTCGACACTTCGCCGACACCTCGCCGACACTTCGCCGACGCTTCCTAGGCCTCAAGGGCCGAACCCCGCCTTTGCGCGCGCCGCCTCGCTGGGCGGCCTCCTCCAGCCCCACGACGGCCGCAAGGCGCCCCCGCCGCCCGGCGCAAGGCTAGCGTGCGCGCAGCTGGGCGAAGCTGTCGACGCGCTATCCGCCGCCGCCGCCGCCGCCGCCGCCGCCGCCGCCGCCGCCGCCGCCTCCGCCTCCCCGCCGGTCGCGTCGAGCGGCGGGGCGGCGCCGGCGGCCGTCGCTGCGGTCGCGTTTGGCGGATCTCTCTGCACTGACGGCGGCGCGAGCGCGGCTAGTCTCTCCCGGCAGGCGGTTGCTTGCCCCTCGCACGCCCTCCGGCCGTCTCCCGGCTGCACCTCGGAATACTTCGGCTAGATCTCGGCCGAATCTCGGCCGCCTCTCGGCCGCACTTCGGCTAGATCACGGTTGCACCTCGGCTGCACCTCGGCTGCATCTCGGCTGTAGCCGCTCCTCGGCCGCTCCTCGGCCGCACCTCGGCGCCACCTCGGCAGGCGGAGGCGGCGCTGCACAACACTCTCTCGGTGGTCTGCGCGGCCGCTGCCGAGTCGGCGAGCTCCCGGACGGCCCTCGGTAGCGCGGGCTGGCTCGAGCGCTTGCTCTCCCTTGCGGGTCACGCGTCCCCGCGCTGCGCCGCCGCCGCGCTGCGCGCTCTCGCCCTCCTCCTCCCGTCTGCGCCGCCCGAGGCGGTTCCAGGCTCACTCGCGCCGCAGCCGAGCGCCGCAGACGCCGACGCCGACGCCGGCGCCTTCGCCTCGCTCGAGGCGAAGCTCAGCGGGAGGCAGCCCGCAGACCGCCCGGGGCCCTTCCTCATGCTCCCCCCCCCCCTCTGCCCGCCCGCCCGCCCGTCCTCTCTTCCAGGCGATGCTCAGCGGAGGCCTGGCCGCCGGCCGCCGCAGCGCCGGCGGAGCGACCGGAGAGGGGGGCCTTCCCGTCGCGCTGCTTCGCCAGGTCGGCTCCGAGCTGCTGCTGCCGCTCGCCCCGCTGCCGCGGCCTCTCCCCACGCTCTGGCGGCCGGCGGCGGCGTGGCGCACTGTGAGCGACGGCTGCGTCGCGCTGCTGCGCCGCCTCCTGGCGTCGGGGGAGCCGTGGCGGACCGAGGTGCTGCGTGCGGCGGCGGCGGCGCTGGCGGCGTTGCCGCCGATCCTCCCGTCGATACCGGGGGGCGGCGGCGGAGGCGGCGGCGGAGGCGGCGGCGGCGGCGGCGGCGGCGGCGGCGGCGGCGGCGGCTCCTCCGCCGCTTTCCCTTGGAGGGCCGCCTCCGAGGCGCTCGGCGCGATCTGCGTGCTTGGAGGGCACACTTGGGTTGCGCATGCGGGCGCGCGCGTCTCCGTCGGCACTGCGAAGGGGGCCCGCAGAGGCACGCTGATTGGCGCGGAGCCGGGCGCGGGCGGCGCGTCGTCGGCGGACACGCACCTGGTCTCCCCCCCCCCCCCCCCCTGCATGTGCTCGCACCTCTCGGCGCGGCCTGATGGTTCACGGACTTGACTCACCACCTCCTCCTGGGCTGGCCCCACACACTCCTCCTCGCCCCTCCGCACCGCCGCCGGCCCGCCGGTGAGTTTCTCTGTTCGCCCGTGTTGACTGCCCCAGGTCCGGCTCGACGGCGACGCGTGGCGTGACTTGACGACCGCCGCGGCAGGCTCGGTGCGGGTCCACCCCCTAGCAGCCCTCGCGCCGACCGCGCTCTTCCCCGCCGCCTCCGACGCGGGCGGCCGGCCGGCCCATCCTCCCTCCACGGCCGGCGCCGCCGACGCCGCCGACGAGGCCCGCGCCGCGCTGCTGGGCGTGTACAAGGCGCTGCTCCCGCCGGCCGCCGCCGCCACGCCCGCGGGGTCGCTGCTGCGGTGCCGCGCCCTCCTCTCCCTCTCGTGGCTCTGCGGCGCCGCGGACGGCGCCCGCGCGGCCACCGCGGCCGGGCTGGTCCCCCTCCTCGTCGCCGACGCCACCCGCTCCTCGCCCGACCGGACGCCGCTCTCGCGCGACGAGTGCGGCCGCCTGCTAGCCGCAGCAGAGCTGACCGTCTCCGAGCTCGCCGCCACCCGCCGCCCGCCCGCCGAGGCCCCTTGCCTTCTCGCGCACCGGGCGGCTCCCACGCCGCCCGAGATCGCCGCAGACCCACCCGAGATTGTTCCGAGCCTAGGCCTTGGCGCTCGCCGGGGAGGCGTCGCTGCGGGCTCTGCTGGCCGGGCGGCGGGCGGCGCCGCTGCGGGAGGGTGGCGGCTTCCTCGCCTCCGCGCGCGCGCAGGCGCAGCCCTCCTCTTCGGATGCCTCACCTCGGGACAGTCTCGGTCCATCTTCGGGCTCCTCTCGCGCCCAGGCGGCTCTCTTGCTCGATGGCCGCTCGCAGTCTCCGCCGCTCCCGCTTGTGTCGGGCGGCTCTGGCGCGGCGGACGGGTCGGCGGCGGAGGAGACGCAGGCGGAGGAGGGGGCGAGGGGCGGCTCCTTGCGAGGAAGAGAGAGGTGCAGCGGCCACACGCAGGCAAGCTGCGAGCAGGCGGAGCGGGCGAGCTTCGATTCAACGTCGTCGGCGACGCGCAGCGGCAGGAGCAGTGGCAGCGGCAGGGAGGCGAGCGGGCGCCGCTCCTCGCCGGACGAGGTGGACGAGGGCTTCGCGCGCCTCGTCGCCGCGATGGAGTCCTCCACCCGCGCCGACGGCGCCCCGCCCCGCCCCGTCGCCGCCCCGCCGTCGCCGCAGGGCGCAGGCGCCGCGCTCCCCTCCTCTCCGCCGCCGCCGCCGCTGCCGCCGCCGCCGACGCCGCGGCTCGGGCGGTCATCGCGGCGCGCGGCTGCGTGCGTCCTCCCACCGCTGGGTGGTGGTGGGTGAGTAGTGTGGCTGGGCACGCGACTAGGTGGGAGGCGGCGTACGCGCTGTCGCAGAACGTGGCAGAGCTCGGGATCGACGCATCGCCAGCTGTGTGCCACAAGGCGACGCCTCACGCCGCCGCTCGCCTCCTCTCGCCTCCTCTCGCCTCCTCTCGGCTCCGCTCGGCTCCTCTCGCCTCCTCTCGGCTCCGCTCGGCTCCTCTCGCCTCCTCTCGGCTCCGCTCGGCTCCTCTCGGCTCCTGTCGGCTCCTCCCGGCTCCTCTCGGCATCGACGCTTCGCGGTGAGCCAACAAGGCCCTGCGTTTGAGCCGCGGCAACCCCGACGCCGCCGTCTCTTGGCTGATGGACGTGGCGGCGGCGGCGGCGGAGGGGGAGGAGGAGGCGGGTGATGAGGAGCCGCCGCCGATGCCCGCCAGTGACGGAGAGGAGGAGGGGGAGGGGGGTGGGGAGGAGGGGGGCGGTGCGGAGGGGGAGGCGGCGGGGGGGGAGAGCGGGCTCACCTCGGACCGCCTCGGCGAGCTGGCGGCGGCAACGAGGCTCGATGGGGCGCCCGCAGTCGGCCCAGACGGCTGGTGGGTACCTTCCTAGACACTTCCTAGACACTTCCTAGACACTCCGGGACGGGGGGTGCCGACCGGCCTCGGTCGGCAGAGCACTCACGGCCGCCGGCCGAGTGCGCGGTCTGTTGCCTAGGAAGTGTCTAGGAAGTGTCTAGGAAGTGTCCGCCCGCCGCCGGCCGAGGACACACACGCCAGCCACTCTGGTGAGGAGCTGCCCGGCCCCCTCCCCAGGTTCCTCATGCCGCCGCCGGCCGGGCGCGACGCTCAGCCCGACGCCCCGCGCGGCTCGATCACCCTCTCCGTGACCTGGCCGGCGGGCGGTGCTCCGGTGGCGCCCGGCCAGTCGGTGCTCGTGCAGGACCAGGCGGGGCGGCGCTTCCGCACCGTGCTGCCTCAGGGGATCCGGCCGGGCCAGTCCTTCCGCGTGGAGGTGCCCCGCCCCGCGCCGAGCAAGAGCAGCGGCCTCCCTTCCGGCGCCGCCGGCGCCGCCGCCCGCATCGGCGAGCCCGCCCGGGCCTCGTCCACCACGCACTCTCCGACCAGCTCGAAGACGTGGGAGGAAGTCGCCGTTGAGTAGGCGAGTTTGTGCCGGCCGCGAACCTGGCCGCCATGGACTATGGGTACGAGGCCGCCGCCACCGCCGCCGCCGCCTCCGCCGCCGTCCGCGCGGGCGGCGGCGGCGGAAGCAGCCCGCAGCCGCTGCAGTCCGGCAGCCCCTCCGGCGGGGGGGCGTTTGCATCGCACGTGGCTGGCGCGGGCGGCGGCGAGGCGCGGCAGCTCGGCGAGGGCGAGGCGCCTCGCGCGCCGGCGCATCTGCCGCCGCTGTCGGCGCTCGAGCTGGTCGCCGGCTCGCCCCTCCGCCTGCCGGGCGGGGAGGTCGGGCTGGTGGTGGCGGTGGACGCGCCCGCCGAAGGCGTCGCCGACGAGGCTGGGGCGGGGCGCGGCTGGTGCGGTGCGCGGTGTGAGCGGCGCCTCTTCACAGCTGCGTGCCGCGTGAGCAGGCGGAGGCGGGGTACGGCACGGCGGTCACGCTGCTCACAAAGTGCGAGGCGAGCGACGCGCCGCTGCTGCTGCGCGCGTCTGCCGCGGAGCTGTCGGTGCCTGAGGCGGCTGCCACGGCGTGGCTCGCCCCGGCGTCGGGCGACGGCGGCGTGCCGCTCTCTCAGCGGCGAGCCGGGCGAAGGCTTCATGCTCGAGCACGGTGGGCCATCCGTTAGGCGGTGTGCCGCTCTCAGCGGCGACCCTCTGCCGGCGGGCGGTGATGCCGCTGCAGCTCGGCCTCGCGCGGCTCGCGATGCGGCAGGCGACGCTGCTGCTTCTCTCGCGCCCGCCGGCTCCCGCCGCGTCGGACGGCGGCGAGGAGGGGAGCGACCCGATGTCGGTCGCCGTCGCCTCTGTCGCCTCGGACCCGCCGCAGCTGCTCGCGCTGCTCAAGCTCGCGCACGCCGCCGGCGGGCACGCCGGCGGCGGCGGCGGCGGCGGCGGCGGCGGCGGCGGCGGCGGCGGCGGCGGCGCCGACAAGCCGCGCGGTGCGCTCGCATCGCTCGGGCCGCTCCTCGGGCGGGCTCCGGCGCAGTTCACCTGCCTGCTGCGCGACGACGCGCTCGCCGATCTGCGGCGCGGGCTCTCCGCCGCCGGCAATGGCGAGGCACCCCTCGGGTCATCCGGAATGGTGACTTAGCAGGCGCGGGCTCTCCGCCGCCGTCTCACTCTCCGGGGGAGAGTGGCGCCCGGCGGGTAGCCGGAGCAGCGCGCCTCGCAGAGTGCACATCCCGGGCGCCGCCGCGCTGCTCGTCGAGGCGGACGAGCCGCCCCCATCTCTTCCCCTTCTCCCCCCTCTCTTCCCTTCTCTCGCTGTGGTGGTGCTCGACGGCAAGCTCTATGCTGTGGGAGGCTACGACAACGGCTACCTCAGCTCGGTGGAGCGGTACGACCCGACCGCCAACGCGTGTCAGGCGGCGGCGCCGATCGAGACGGCCCCGGCCTTCCCTGTCGCGCTCCTGATGTAGAGGTGGAAGAGGTGAAGAACAGTGTGTGAGAAAGAATTGTGCGTTCGATCTAGTGAGCGGTTTCCTTTGCTGCGCGAGATCGAGGAAAGTGTTTTTCGCTATTCTTTTTCGCACGCCCTCCCAGGCTGCTACCCAGGCGGAATCGACCTATCAAGTGCTCAAGTGCTCAAGTCG